TAACTATAGTTTAGTTTAGTTTAGTTGTACGTAGAATACTACGTAGTAACTAATAATTAAATTTAAGTTAACTTACTTACTACTACTACGTACTACACACACACACACACACACACACACACACACACACACACACACACACACACACACACACACACACACACACACACACACACACAAATGCTTACGTACATTTATATAAACTAATGAACGAATTTTATTCAGGTTACATAACTAACCATGAACATTTAGCATGTTAAAATGTGTACCAAAAAAATTAAAAGTTGTAACAGGAAATAAAATGTATTCAGTTCACTTTCCCACCTAAAGCTGGAAATTTAATAATTTCTTTTGTATAGTATGGTGTATTATAATCTTAGATACCGATAGACAACTAGTTAACCATAAGTTTCAAATTTTTAGAAAATTTTATTGTAGTATAGCTTAAACGAGAAAACATTGAAACACAATGACAATATAAACATATAGACAGACAACAAATTAGCTGTGTGTTCATTGATACTATTATTTCAGGTGTACAAGGTAATATCATTTCTATCCTAACTGCAATATTCATTGTTTAGTTTTATCAAAACTAAATTCATAATTAAACTTAATTTGCATTATTAGTGTTATTGGTGCTTTAATTTCTGTATATTGTTATTATTTCATATATATTACATCACATTATCATTTTTTATATTTCCCACCACCTTTTGCCATTATTTTATTTCTAATTTTATCTTTATAAAAAAAATTAGTTAAAATTTCTTATAACTATTATCACACTTAGTCTTTTATATACTGTACACAACTCTTTGGCACAACATAAATCTGACTAACAACTCTAGGTTATGAATAGCTAGTTCTCAAGGCTAATTCATATTGAATGTGTGGTTTACGTGACGTCAACATCTATGCCTATATATTTCATCACACTCATTAAACATGACCCTTTATCCTCCTGAAGAAGAACAGTGAATTATTCAAAAGCACTTGAGTTTTTGGTTTCGTTTGAAAACCGTGTAATATTCTTTTTTTTTTCTACTTGAAAAAAATGTATTAGCAATGAAACTTTTAATAGCTTTTAACAAATATAAAGTTTCCTGAAATGGACATCTGTTATTGATTTGGATCAGTTGTATTTACTAGCAAAATACATCTGTGCCATCTAGTGAGTTGTAAAGCAAATAAATTAAGTAATTTCAATAACAAGGTAATATCTACTATCTAGTGACAATTTGTAATATTACATTTACAATGTTAACAGTTCATAATATGATTGGTATTATTATTACTTTTGTTATTTCTGTTAGATTTATATATGTTATTAACAGTTATCTATCTGTAATGATAGACCATTATCAAATCTATAATTATCATATAAAACATATTCATAAATGTCGGTTCATTTGCGAATAGAGCATTGTATTCCAAAGATTGATTTTCAAAATGAGATATTTTGAAAAATAAGAAATATAAAATTTTAGTTGTGTGTGTGTATGTATGTATGTATGTGTGTGTGTGTATATATATATATATATATATATATTCATTCTATTATACTCGAATCGTATATTTATTCACAAAGAAGCTGTATGCCAAATATTATGACTACATCAAACTGTTTGGAAATGACAATGGAAGTACAATCGTGATTTTTACAAACTTCAGAAGGCCCTCAGTGCATTTGAGTTCTAATTATGTACATAAAGAAATTATCGTATTGTAAAGAATTTAATGCTTTATCAAAATATGTATGATATATTACATATGGTACTCAATACTATTCAAAAAGGCTTTAGTTAGAGTCAACTTTCATATAATGATGCAGAGTATTGTTCTTTTAATTATCAATGAGCATTCTTCATTTGCACTACCAATCTTGAAATTAAGAGTAATGTGGAAAAAGAAACAGCTTTGTCAGCTTTCTGCACTTAATCCATAACTGTTAATTGATAAGTGTTTAAAAAAAATTGATTTTGCTTCATACTTTTGCAGGCATCACCAGGAAATTTGACTGAAATGGAAGGTCTTTTGTTTGGAAACATGGAACTTGTAGAAGCCAGAGGAGTTATTTCCATTAAACTGAGTACAGAAACCAAACTAATTGTACATATCAATTACATACTATAATCAGTATTTAAACAGTTTTTCTTAATTGAGTATGTTTTCATTTCTTTGAATTAATCTAAAATACTCTGTCAAGATTAGAAATTTATGGTAACTTAGTATATCCATTTAATCTTGTGAATACAGGTAGGTCAAAGTGTACATGTCATGACTTTCTTACAGAGGTGAATCAAAAAGTTGCTTAACTAAGCAACTTTATTATTAGTGTATTTAAATAAACTTGGCATCAAAATGTGGTTTATAGTTTAAATTGTCGTGCAATATAAGTTTTCTTAATATCAAATGAAATATTTAAATAGATTCTGAATCTTCACTTCTCTGTATCACATGATACTTTTTGCTCTGAATTAACCATTTTAGGTTTTCTTTCTACCCTATATGACTTTGAGTTTGGCACAAATTACGTACTTACAGTATAGATATTGCTAAGCTGTTATGTAAATTTATAGCCTCCAAACTTCCTGCTTTACTGAGAGATATACAAGAAAATCAAACAATTTTTTCACCCATTTATAGTTTTGTTAAAAAGTCAGGTAAATTATTGTAGTTTTAAGACATTCTATTTTTTGTACACATTAAAACTGTGTTGTAAAATGCATGTTCAAGAGTTATTTTGTGGTACACCAACGTTGTTACAAAGAAAGAGGCTTACATTGCTTTTGTCTTCTGAGAGCAAAAACACAATGTTCCAGACTAAAGTACTAAATTTCGTGTTTTCTTGTGTGTATTTATTTTATTTTTGTTACAAAAGTAACTAAACTATAAAAATTAGGAACTGATTAGATAAGAAAACTTGAATGAAACTAAAATTCAATAAACAAATTACTTCTGATAGCATGTACACATATCAAGACATGGTTGTGCAGTTCAGTGTGTGTGATAGCTGGTAATTCGATCCTTTGTTTACACAGATCTGTTTTACTGTGGTAAATTGCTTTAGTTTTACTCTGACAGGTTCTAAATGCAACTGCAAAGCAATAAAACTAAATGAATCCAAATTTGAACAGTTTATTAGTTTTGGCTGTAAGTATAAATAATGTGTAATTGTCTGTTACAAAAGCAGTCATTCTAGAGAGAAATATAAGGTAACTTAGATTTATTTTGTACTAGTGAAAGTACTGGGCTTCACTTGGGTTATTAGGTTGATTTATTTGTTGCTCCTTTACGAGATGTGGCCTGTTTTATAAAGGTAACCTTCCCTCTCACTTGTCCTCCAATTTTATCTTAAATAATAAAAAACAAACCTCTTTAATTAACAGAGCCTCTAAATTAGAAAATGACAAATTTTTTTCAATTTCGTAGTTTATACATATCAATTTATACTTTCAGCACATAGCCTCTTAACAACAATATTAGATTATACTTTTGTTGCTAAGCAACTTGATGAAAAAGCCATTGTTGGAATGCATTGTTACCAAAATGCGCTGGCTTTTCTACTTATTAGAAGTTGTCATATAAGGAACCCCTTCTTATCTATGTGGTTTTTCACTAGATTGCCTCATGAAAAAGATACACAAGTCTGTCTGATTTATATCTATAATTTGTAATATAAGTATCCACTTCGTTTCTGTGATTTTTTTGCTAGCTTGCTTCATTAAAAAAATGTTCATGCACGTGGATAAGATAAGTAATAATACCCATGTACAAACCCTCAGGGCCCACTTAGTATGGGTGCAAATTTTCAGGTTTCTAGGTTCTATCCTCTTGGAGCTATAGTGGTAACACATACACAGACACAACGTGGTAATGTTTTATTAAATCAAAGTTAAAGGTAAATCATCTTCTGTAGAGCCATCAAAGTCTATCTTTTGTATTGGTGTGAAACTGCTGAAGCAGCTCAAATTCAGCAAATGTAAGCGTGTTGCAATCCACATAGTCATTGCTCTCATCTTCCTCTTCTCCAGAAGTCAGTCCACTTTTCTTAAAAGCATTCAGAATGAATGATACTTTGATAGCATTCAATGCTTTTACAACCTAACATCAAACTTTGGCATAGCTGGCTTTCATTTTCTCAGAGGCTGTATATTTGTATAGGCCCACTGTCATCAATTTCTTCCAAAATACATGGATCTTCAGTTTGAACATTCTGTTTATGATGAGGTCAAATGATTGAAGTTTCTTTGTGAGCCCTCGTGCGGTTTATTTCAATGTCAATTTTTTAAAATTTCTTCTTGAAAGAGTCTCATTTATGGGCTGATGTAGAGTCAAATACCAGGAGTGATTTGTTTCTAGTGAAGAAGGCCACTGGTTACCGTTGCCAGCAGTTTTCAGCTCACTCTTCTATTTCATTCTCATTCATCCAACCCTTTTTGTTTGCCCTCACAAAAATGCCAGTGAGGAAGTTATCTTTGGGTAGTGTATTTCTTTTGAAGATAACCTTCGGCTTGACCTTGGTCCCATCAACGAGGCAGGATAGTACAATGGTGAAATTTGTTTTTTCATATCCCGTAGTTGTGAAGCTGGCGATTGAAGAGTTTTTGACTTTAACAGTCATTGACAGTGATGCATCATAACTGATGGGCACCTCATACATTTTACTGAGGAAATATGGCGTATGGATGTCCAAATCTGTCTTCTACTTTTCAATAAACTTCGAAAAGCTTTCCACTTTAAGTTCCCAGTCCACCGGTAGCTTTTGGCCAATGGTCATCCTGGCTCTAACAGATAGTCTGTTTCTTTTCATGAATATGAAACACATGAAACCTGTAAAATTGGAGGTATGCATCTGCTCAGCCATTTGCTGCACGTATCAGGGTCGTGGATACTGAATGGCCCACATATCTGTTATGCAACCCAAGCCTTCAGGTCTTCTTCGAGTGTTGGCCACTTTGCACATCCACCCATCATGGTTCATTTATTTTTTGGTATTTCTTTTAATTTTGACTGTTTTCAACACTCTTGCACAAATTTTTCATCCACTTAAAATACATGACCAGCCTCTATGTTGCCGTGTTCTTCCGTATAGAGAAGCTTTCAGTTTTAAATCAGCCATGTAACTTTTATGTTTTCTCTTCCAATTATTGACAGCAAACATTATATGGCAGTAATTTTTATAGCAATTTATAATAATCTGGACAAAGTTGTAAAGTGATATAAAATATGGAGGACACATATAGAGGATGAGGTTTTGAAAGTCTTGCCTTTCTTCTTAAGATCAATGTGTGTGTGTATGATGATGCCGGTATTTATAATATTCTGGTGGATTGTGGAGGATGTGTTCTAATTGGATAGTTTATTCTTGTTTCTGATTGGTGGAAAGACTTCCTGAAGATTTAATCATTGGTAACCACAGATTACCACCTCTAATCTGGAATATATGTTTAATGAAGGTTTTATTGTGTTATGATAATTTAAAAGGATCATTTAATTTTTCTTGCCTTCCAAAATTTGTCTTTGTCACTGGCTTTCAGGGTATAAATGAGTAAGGATAATATGTGACTAAAAGTTTCTTAGAGCACTTTTTCCTCAGGTGCAGGGTATACCAAGGTGTGGGTTATTTATGTGAAAATATGGTAGTTTTATATTTAACATGAAAATCATCTTGCAGGTGAACTATTCAGAGACCAAATGCAAATAACTACATTAAATAACGAATTTATGGTAGAAATAATAGAAAAAAAAATCAAAATTAGATATTTTTCTGAAGCTACTTACTTTTATGAAAGTTCTTGTCAAGTTTCAAACAATTTCAGCCACTAGTTTTATTTTTGAAACGAAATATGATGAGTATGATGTTACGTAGTTACAATGTAAATAGCTAGTAGTCGTAGAATTGAAAGGCTATGACAGAATTCAAGATATACTGTTGCAGAAATTGCAGTCTTAGCTCAGAATTTGAAAAATTTGCTGCTCTATTCATGGTAGGATTTATAAAACCATCAACTTTGCTACATAGTCTTAGAAATTGAAAGTAAGGGATGGAGTTCTTAGTATTTTATGGTTTAGAGGAATCAAAGTGTAGATAAGAATATGACTTAGTTCTTTTATAGTTTATACTAGAAGTGATGTAGTTATTACTGATAAGTTTGATATCTAAGAATGGAAATTTTTCACTTGATATTGTGCCAGTAAATTGGAGGATAGGGTGAAAACAAAAGATTTGCAGTAAAACATTTTATAGGTTTTTCTCTATTCATTGAAGCTATAACAACAACATCTATATAATTGTGAACTATAGTAGCTTTTTCTTTGGTGTACTGGTGAAAACATTGTTTTTTGAAATAACCAAAATACAAATATGGAAATTGTAGTCCCATTTTTTTGCTCATGGCAACACCATTCCTTCAATCTTTTTTTTTTGTACTTTGCATGAGCTGGCTTGTGTAAGCCTTGCTAATCTTTTTGTTGATTAGAACTTTTGGTGGATTGTTTACATATTAACCACATCTGGGTAAGTTACAATTTTGGGTACCAATTGGGATCTGAGTTTGGTTACAAGGTGTTAATGCACTATGCACCAAGAGGTTGCAGGCATTAGTGTCATGTGCATAGGATATTAAAGGTTGATTGCTAAACATCATTTTGGTGGTAGGATCTTCTGTGAGTATAAATATTAAATAACTATAGTAATCTGGTCACCAAATAGATATTCTAGACTTACCAGCTATCTCATGCAGAGTACAAAGGAAAATTGACAAGGAACCTGAGAAGGCTAGACAGACAAAAGAAAATATGTTTATTCAAAAACAGGAGAAAGTGGAAGGAAAAGCACAAACGAAAAAGAATCTTCACAGTACTCACCAATGCTGTTCGTTGGTTCCCAAAAAACTAATGCCCGGTTAATATGCCAAATATAATGTCCTTGGCAAAAGTATACCCTACATCAGCCTTCATAACTAACTTCGTTGAGCTGTCAATAACACAATTCCCACCTTCTGTAGACTGGATTCATAGCTTATAGAATGCTTATCCAAATTCAAGCATTCCAGAATTTGAGTTTCTATACAGCCAGTGACTGCACTGGTTGTATTCTCTGATCA